ATTTTGTTTGGAGATAAATACTAATCTTCAAATATTTTGCTTCAAACTAAATTTTTAGCTTGCTGGCTAACCATTTGGTTAATTTAGCCAATTTAGCAAGGTTAGCTTGCCAACTTAATATTGAGTTTCAAATTTAGCTCAGAGTTAAATATTTAGCTTGCTGACTATTTAGTTTGGAACAAAATGCTTAATTTAGGTTAAATTAGCAAGGTTAGCTTGGTAGCTATATATTTAGCTCAGAGCTAAATCCTTTGTTTGGATCTAAATATTTATCTTGCTAACTAAATATGTTTGAAACTGTAAGAATTATAAATTAATGAATAACATGGTGAAAATATGACTTTGAAAATCATGATGAATAATACTAACTATTGCTGTTAATATTTGACTAACTTTACAAATAGCACCTATGGAATAGATGAATATTAATCTACGAAACAAGCTTTCAAAATCTCTTATTTTACACACATGTTCAATTAAATATTAAGTTGTGCAATGATTCAAATGTTCTCTTATAACTAGAGTGTGCAAAGATATTTGTCTGAAACCTGCAGCCAGGTTCATGTCTCTGTGGTCAGAAGGAAACCTTTGAGCGAAGAAACGGTTTCCTTCTATTAGAGGACAGGATTATTATGTCCAGGATGATTGAGAATGAATGAATATCGTTAGCTTAAACTGACCCGAAGCAAAATAAAAAAGAGAGGCAAGTTTATAAAACCTGCAACAAAAACAATGGAAAACTTGAAGATCTTGAGCATGAGAGAGATTTAAGGGATAATGTCTAAATTAAGAAGACGACAGACTCCCAACAGACAAGGTAAAGAGACAAATAAATCCTCACTAAACAAATTAAAGAAAGTAAAACACAAAGCCAAGAAATTAACACAAGAAGAAACGGCACAGGAGCACTTCTTAAAGAAATGGGACGGATTACAGCCAAGAATGACAGAAATACAAATGCCAGCATGACAACGTGGCAACCGTGGAAATGAAAGACAAACAGATACGATGATGGACTCCTGAAAGAACGACGGAGAGAAAACAAAGACGAGGCGAAGCAAACACTCACCAAACAGCCTGTGTTTGGTCATTTGGAAGCAACTCTTCTTCTTGGATGATGTTCCCTTCATCGCAGTGTGTGCAAGCACACACACACACACGCACACACACAGGCCGCCATGCCTCGAGTTTTGCCTGCCAAGATCAAAAATGAAGTGGTCAGTGGACAGCTTGGCTTGTCACAGGAAGCAGTGGGCCGCCGTGCCACATGTAGCTGGGAGGACAGGCCAAGGAGGGGCCGGCGGGGGGCGCGGGGCGAAAACAACGGGGATCAGGCAGTAAGGAAGCCGCCTATAACCTGATCTCATCACGCCACATCTGCTCAGCTGTGAACCCGAGAGCTGTGGGCTTCGTGTCGTCATCCATATTTGATGAGTTTGTCTTATTCAGTGTGTGTGTTAGCCTTGAATTTAATGTTGTTTTTTAATATAAAGTCCCCACCACCTCTTCCTGCATTAATAATGACCAAACATCTTTTGACTTTGAAAACTTGGACTTTACTTAGCAGGTTAGAGAACAGGCTGCAGGCATTTTTAAATGCACAAACGTTTCAAGCCATCTTAAAGATGGTGATAACTTGGTTTTCAATGAGCCAGACTTTATCTTTTAAAGTTATCCTTCAACAGTTTTTCAAGCTTCCTGAAGGTATTCTGAAGTTTTTCCTTGATTTCTGGCTGCTTTTCCATTAAATTTCAGGTTGGATTGTAAGAAATTAAAAAGTATTTTGTGACAGAATATTGTACAAACATGAAGAATGCACTGCCCAATAATGTCCTGATTTATTATAGCTCTATACTACATACGTCACTAATCTTTATCTGATTTTTTGGAAAAATCAAATGTATGATGTTTTAGTTTTGATGCATTTAGTAAATATTAGTCACTTCTGATATGTTGAGATAAAACTTCAGTTAATTAATAGACTGAAAAAGCAACCAAATGGAAAATAAATGTAATAAAAGGACAGGAAAAAATAATATAAGAAATAAGATTGAACTGAATTGATGCATAATCAGGATGCATAGATTTCTAAAGTCATGGACACTTCAGAGTTTGTTTGGGCTTTTTCTGCTCTTGTTGAGAACACTTTGAGATTTCATGCTCAAAACGATGAGGGAGAAGGGAAAATATTTGGTTTGAGGACAGATTTAGGCTCCATGATGAAACTCATGTTCATCCCGTCGTACAGCAGAGAATGGGAGCTCAACTGAACAGAAAGAAGTGTGACACACAAACTCTTACAGACTCCTCAAATCCAGAGCATTTGCTGCTACGTTCACACTTCGGCTCACTTGGCCAACTTCAGAGGAAGTTACCAGTGGGCAAAGAAACCTTCTGCATGTAGTCTGGAACAATAGCTGCAGGAATGTGTGTTTTCACAAACCACCCCTGCAGAACATCTTTGTAAAACTCTAGCGCTGCAGTGGGCGTGTGAAAAAGAAAAACATAGAATACAAGTCAATGAATAAAGGAGGCTAATTCCACAAGAATATGAAGGAAAGCTTTGAAACATCCACAACAAACCTGCTTTGAGATTACTTATTAAGCTTCCTTGAACAGCAGGTTAGGATAGGTCTAGTTGTACAAAACATGTTCATTAAGTTTTTTGGACAAAATCACTCTTAGTTAATGAGCTTTAAGTCTACTCAGTTCAGAATTAGCTGCTTTAGGGCACCTATAAATCCAACAAGCTGCTATCCATGCTAACCAACTCATAATCTGCTGTCGCCTGTGAAAATGGCTGAAAATTATACAACTGTACATCTTTGAAAAGCAGAAGCAAAGCTTCCTGCACAACCAACATGAATGCAGCAAGTGGTTTCTGGATGCCAAGTCAACAATAAAACTTGTGTTTTCCAGCATCCATTGTACAGCGCATACAGTGGTAAAACCAGCTGACCAACCAGCTGGAGTTCCATTGGGGTTGCTTGGTTACGAGGCTAGGCTTGGCTGGGGTTGCTAGGTTATGAGGCTAGGCTTGGCTGGGGTTGCTAGGTTACGAGGCTAGGCTTGGCTGGGGTTGCTATGTAACGGCAGTGCCCGTTAAATGTGACTTAACAATCGGGAGGTTTTTGAAACAGCTTTTAGAGACACCAAAAAAAATATATAACAGCTGTATTTACAGAACAAATTGGTTTTAAATACGCAGACACAAAACAACTTTTAAAATCCTGAACTAATAAACAGATCCCCTCATCTTTCCAAGGTTGGGTTGTGACCTGAAGACAAGAACCGGGTTTAGCTGTATTCAGGTTCTTATTTGCTTTTGTCTCATCATTTTAAATCACTAAGAGCACATTCTTTGTGTTTTTGACTGTTTTTAGGTGGTGATTTTCTTCTTAAAAAGCAGTCAGAAAGAAAAACCAGGATGCAACACATTAATCAATCATTGATGGTTTGAGCTAAATTACTTATTTATTCTGAAACCTAAAATCATGCCTGATGTGCTCTCAGCAGGGTTGATCCAGTCACAAGTGAGGTAAGGATCTTCCTAAAGTGGAAAACATTTTTCAATTGAAAATTCTCTAGCGCTCCTAGTAATTCTTGGACATCGCCGCCTTAGGAGATAAATGAAAAATACCTCAAACAAGATGAGTTAAGCTGGTATATTTTGTTTTTCTCAAAGGCACCAAATGTAGCTGCCATGCAGGAGTTTCCAAAGACAAACACAACACCTATGGTGTGTGAATTTATCCTCTTTCTGTCTTGTTTTTTCATTTGCCCTCAAACTCTGCCTGTCTGACGCTCATTTCCTTTAGCAGCTTATTGTTTACATCTCTGAACGCTGCTTTTTCCTCCAAAAACCAGAGAACAATGCTGGCAACTATGTGGTGAAGAAGGTGCAATGTCTCGTCATTGAAAGGCCAGATTTATTTTTTCTTTCTTACTGTGGAGATGCTGGAAGCAAGGGCGGTGTGAAAACAGGAATGTTTATCAGACTCAAGAGGAAACACATTTGCAAGGTGTCAAAAATTATGTCACTAGGTGCGTTTCCATTGATCATATAATTGACAATTTCGTGAATAAATTTACTTAATGGAAACACACCAATTTAAAAACAGTAATTTTGTTTTTGCATGTTTTTGATTTATCGCGTGAACAAACGTATTCACGTGTGATTTTAATTTAAACTTAAGTATGTATCTTTTGTAAGAAATATATATATATTTATATTATATTTGTTGACACCATCACCATGTTGTGACAGTGCACCATAAGGCAGATGATCTGTGGAAAATTAAGCTCCTCTGCTTTCTTCCAATGTTAACTAAAACCAACCAATCAGAGGCAGGAGGCGGGGTTTAGCGCTGTCAATCACAATCTCGTGTTGCACTGCTCATCTTTTCTCCCACTTGCTCTGTGCTAAGCTGCAAATAGCATAGCCTTTTTGTTGATGCTCAGTCTAGTTAGCATAACCACCACTGACGGCAGATAAATCGTTTTCCTTATTGATTGTCAGCACAAAGACCCGCCTCCTGTCTCTGATTGGTTGTTTTTGCTCAGTAGCTATAAATTTTTTTAGGAAGTGGAGTAGGTTGATCTTTTCACAGATTCTGTCTCACATTAAACAAATATGTAAAAGATATATTCTTTATTCTATTAACATTGCAAAATTGTGTCTTTTCCACATCAGCGGCGTACCAACAAAGTTTTTGCGCACGTTTGTGCGTTGTGGCATGGTGTGGGATCAATCATTTTGAACATAAACAAAACAAAGGAGATGATTGTTGATTTCAGGAAAAACAAGGTCAAAGGTCAAACCCTATTTCCATCATGGGAGAAGAAGTGGAGGTGGCTGTGTAACCCAGTGTTAAAAAATGAATAGATGTTGATTTAATATCTTCTTCTATGAGATTAAAAATTATAAATAAATAGATTTCATGTCTTATTCTACAATAAGAGTTAAAAAGTAATAAAGTTAAAAATAAGTTCATAAATATGTTCATAAATATAGATAAAAAGCACTAAAAATCTTTAAAAACTGTTAAATATACCTTTTGTGATTGCTTTTAGTGGCGGATTAAACAACCAATAGCTGGCACAGTCTGATTTCAAATCAGCCAATGAGGTTGATTGTCCCGCCCCTTAAAATACGTTACTGAGATTTTGCTCAGATTGCGTCAGACACGCTTCAGAGCTCAGAGCTGACCGTTGCTGAAGAATCTTGGAAATCGGTAAGAAAAACGATGTTAAAATAGTTACGCCAAGTATACGACTCAGAATAGTAAATTGTTTTTTATTTAATCTCAAAAAGCTTCCGTTGTGAGCGGCTGAAGCCCGGGAAAATCCCCTGTGGCGTCGTGTAGCATCGCAGCATCGGTGCGGCAGTTAGCTCAGTAAATTCACTGAAAATCTCCAGAAACTGATCAAATTTAATAAAACTAAAAATGTATTGTAAGATTTTGTATTATTATGGTGTATGCCCATCATTTCCTGCTATGTAACAATTGCACTTATCTTTCTATTAGCACTAATATTTCAACGGTGCTAATTCATGGTTAATGGCGCTGTAATATGCTTTTCTATTAGCATTACATTTGACAGACACATTGAAAAGACTAAACAAACATTGAAAGAACATTTGACAGACACATTAAAAAGACTGGGTTATTTATTTTATTTAATTTTTTTTTTTCAAAAGCGTGCCATTTTTGTTTATTTGTAAATGTGGATCCACAATATTCACTATATTCTATTCTTATAGACATTGTGTGCGCTTTTCTGTTGTTGCTCACACAAATTCAGAGTCTTCTGATCAGGCCCAACTCCCTTTATACTTGTGTAGTTGTTTGACCATTGTTCAAAGCTCAATGAGGTTCTTCTCCAGTTTGTGGAATCACTGGCGCATTAGTTTATATGTCAGTGATTGATTATTTTGTTATGTTTTTTTAATTTATTTATTTTTTATTGTTCCTGTTCTGTCTGTTTATGGACCATAATTGTGTCTAAATAAAGAGGATTGATTGATTGATTGATTGATTGATTGATTGATTGATGTAGTCATTGAAGTAAATTAACTTACCTGCCATCTACTATTATCAAAAGTATTTGAAGTAACCTTTCTTGTGGGCACATGCGAGGCAGCCACATGCTTAAAGTGGAGGAGCACAGTCTGTTGTAAATGTACTGTCTGCATGTAAATGTGGAAACATATTTTCACAATAGCATCTATTCCTATTCTGTAGGATTTGATTTGACTTATTTGTACATTTCATCTATGCATTCCATATATTTGTGCATTTCATTCATTCTTTTTATGATGTGAAGCACTTTGAAGTGCCTTGTTGCTGAAATGTGCTCCACAAATAGACTTTGATTGTTCAAGCCATTTTTTGATTCATTCTTTGTTTCTTGTTTGTTTGGTTTTATTTTGTTCGTCTTCTTTTAGCCCCATTGTTTTGGTTCCTGGCGGGATTTTTCTCTTCCAGCTAGTAGACATTGGAGCAACACCATGCCTGGATCGCATGAGTAAGTACTTTCTGCATCAGTCTATAGCCCTGTGATGAGGCCTGCTGAGTCGGAGTTGGAATAAAGTGTAGGAAGTTTCAGATTGAACCTTTTTGAACCCAGAGTAATGGCAACTTATTTTTTGTAACACAGCCATACATTTTTATTAATGCATGCCTCTCATGATGTACGTCAGTTTAAAGTCCTTGTCATTTGCTTTTTCTCTTGTGCTTTTTTTCTTTCTCTCTTTCGTTTTGCTGCCATGGACTGCAGAAGAGCCGACCGCCATGTGGTGTGTCGTCCGTTATGCCAGAACCCACAAAAATATATCTGAACTTATCTGGCCAACCAGTGCATGACAGGTGAACCCAAGGCAGCTCGAAAGGAGTAACTTGCTGCAGCCAAGAAGGTGGACACTGAAAGGCCGTCGGTGGGATTACCATCAGCTCTGCAGGTGAAGCCCGGATACCGCAGGCAGGTACGGTCTTCTCCAACGACTCCAGGAGGACGAGTTCATAGTTCTGAACCCGTCAGACGAGGATGAGCTGTCGAGATTGAGGAGCAGCTGCAGCAGTTGCCCACAAGCCTGCCCGCTCCTTCAGGCAGAGGAGCCAATAGTCCCCGCCGTGTAGGAGTCTGTCGTTGTCCCAGTCAGGAAGCAAGGACCAAGAGCAATTGGGAAGCTCGCAGAGGTGAGTCCCTCACAAGCGATGGCAATATTGTCTCTGCAATTACAGGAGAGACAATCCTGTAATTGTCTCTCGCAATCTTTGTTCTCGGCTGTCGTTGTGATGTTTTTGTTGTGCATTTTGTCTGTGACAGCTCCCGGACTCAGCAGGGGGCCCGCAAGTCCATAAAGGAGATGGGACTGTACAAGAAAGCGGCCTCTGACAACCCCCTTCTCCAGCGCTACAAGGCCCACTTAAAAGGCAAATTAAAAATAAGAAACGCCAAACAATAGGTAAATATTCATGGATAACTTTGGCATGACTTGTTTAAGGCTGCTGTGCACAGAGGTTCCCTCTGCTGTGTTCTTTGCCACTGCCTCCAACATTTTGTGTGCGTGTCTGTTGTCTGTGTGCTCACCCCGTCCTACCCCAGATGGCAATCGTGTGTTGATGGGTGAAGTTCCTGGTTCCAGATGCCGCTCAGGTGACGGCGGGCTTTATTAAGACAGAACAGAAGATGGGGGAGTATGTGAAGAAGCTGAAGGTGGCCAAGCTGAGGACGGCCACTGTCAGCCAGGTGTTGTCCAACATGGTGCGTTTCACCGACTTCTTCGCCAAAGGGCAGTGGAGAAGCAAGGAGACTTAGTGTGCGACGCTTTCACCCAGGCACTCAGGTTCACCATCAAGACACTCAGGAACGAGGACAAACGGAGCAAAAGGCAAGCGAGCGAAAAGCTCCAGACTGACGGCTTGATGTCAGTCTGGAGCTTTCTTCTGCAGCCTATCCCCAGATAAAGTAAGGCCCGAGAAACTGAAACCGGAGTTTCTCGCCCTGTCCAGAGTCAAGAGGCTGCTTTGAGAGAGCAGCTATAATTCAGCTGAAAAAAAAACCTTATTTCAAGCACAGATTTTGCCATCTATAAGAAAAGACAGAGCAAACTGGACTTCTAGAGGAAGCTAAGATCCTTCAAGGTTTGCACCAAGATGCTGCAGATCTTCTATAAATCTGTTGCTGAGAGCGTCATTTCTTATGCTGTCATCTGCTTGGGCATCAGCGTCAGAGCCAAGGACCTAAAAAGGCTCGACAGCCTGATAAAGAAGACGGGTTCTGTTCTGGTTCTGTGGAACCTCTGCAGATGATTATGCAAAGAAGGATTTTTCATAAAATCAAGAAAATTACGGACAACCCTGACCATCGTCTTCATGAGACTCTTAGGAAGGCAGAGCATCTTCAGCCAGAGGCTTCTTCAGATTTACTGTAACACAGACTGCTGCAGGAGATCTTTCCTGCCAACAGCCATTACAATCTATAATAACTCTTTGAAGAATCTAAATGAATGAGTTACAACAACATTTAATTTGGGATTAATAAAGTACTTTTGAATTTGTAATGAAAACACAGCTACTGTTGCAGAGGTTCAGACTGTATTTAGAGCAAACTGGCCCTGCCTGTGCATCGAGACGGCCTTCAGAGGGCTCCTGTAATTGAAGAGACAAAGAAAGGAGAGCTGGCAAGGTTTTAACAATCCCACGTCAGCAAGGCTCCATCAGCCGTGAAACAAAAAGAAGCCGGTGATTCATCCGGCAGAAGAAGGGTGGAGAGGTGGGGGGAAGGCAGCAAGGAATTATCCAGAAAGGTCATCCTCAATTTCTGTCCAGAAATGATCTTTTCCCACTATGTAATAAACATTTATCTGAACCCTTTATTGGCTTTATTAGATCTGACAGTTTAGTTAAGCCGTTTCCATCCGCCGCCGCCGCGGGTCGTGACAGTTAACGTTGCGCAGAAAGTTCCATTGCTGAGGTTTGGATTTAGTGTGGGGGGCGGAGGACGGCGGGTCTGGGCCGGGTCTCATTACCACTGTGAAACGAAAGGCTCTGCAGACGTGCTCATCCACATTTAGACGCCCATAAATATCCCTCCAGCGCAGAGCAGACGCCCGAGCAGGCTCGACGTTGTGTTTAATGTGAGCATCTGAATGTCAGCTGAAAGTGAAGCTGTCTGCCTGCTAGAGAACCAAAGAACTTCTACAGGATGTTGGGTTCTGGTCCGTTTGGGCCAGTTTAGTGGAAGTTACCTCTGCAACGTTGAAACTCTGGTCTAGTTTGGGGCTGCAAGGCCTGAACCCAAACCGAACAGTTCTTCTGACACCTTTAACCTCACAAGGTTAAAACATTAGATCTGTCCATATCCTGAACACTTCAAATCACTCCTTAAAACTCATTTTTATTCTTTGGCGTTTACATAACACTGACATTGTAATTGACCTGTCCCGTGTGTCTGTTTAATTTACTGTGTTTTATTTTTGTTTTTATCTGTGATTTTAAGAATATTGTACTGCACTTTGGTGCAGTTAATAGCTATTTTTAAAGTGCTTTATAAATAAATTGGCATTAGCTAAAATGGTGAACAAGGCAACAGTGGTTAGTAAATACCCAAATTATAAAACAAAAACAGATAAAAAGCATAAAATACAGAATACCAACAAAGGTAAAAGTACATGAATACTTTTATAAATAAATTAAAATCTTGGTTTAATTTAACATTGGTTTTTAAAAAGATTTAAAGCTATTCAAGACCTATTATACTCATATTGTACAGATTTGGATAGGTTTATAGGCTACACAAAACATTACAAAAAAAATTTGCACTAGTGAGATTTTAGTCTGGTCATTTTTCTGCCTATTGTGCAATTGTACAATTGTACATCTTTGAAAAGCAGAAGTGGAGCCTCATGCACAACCAACAAGAATGCAGCAAGTGGTTGTAGACAACAAAACACTTTTCCAGCAGCCAATGTACAGCGGATACAGCAGTAAGACCAGCTGATCAAACATGTTGGAGCTCAGCTTTGGCTGCTAGGTGACGGGGTTTTGTGACGCAACAGTGTTTGTTTTTTTTTTTGTTTTTTTTTTCAGAAAAATGCTGAAAACCTTCATGTTTTATAAAGAACCTAAACTTTAAAAGATTTGAGGGAAAATGTCAAGTGGTTTATCAAACATTGGTGCTACTCTTCTTAGCAGATGCACAAAGGTGCTTTTAATTTAGATACACAAAACATTACCTCCTCCAATTAAATAAGAGCTGCATCTTTATTAGACAAGGGCTTCGGTTTCTACAGCAGCCTTTTGCTTCTGGAGCAAAAACCGTCTTCTGAAAATCCCGACCCGCCAACCGTTGATTAGCAGGTTACAAATCCTGTGTAAACTCTGATAAATGTTGCTCTGAGCCTCTCCGCCGTCCCTCCGTAATGACGGCCAATCCCGCCGCTGATGCCTGCATCAGTATGCGGCGATAATGGGGCGCTCGCAGAAGCAGTTGGGGTTGTAAACAACGTCTGTCATGCAGTTTAATAGACTTGAGGGCATCGTAATGGCTTTGTTCCGCGTTCTCGTTCACCGGACCAAACGCACAAAGTAAAAACGCCGGAAGATAATTTTACCTTGGAAATAGATTAAATAAGCCTTTCATCTCTTTGATAGCTCTATGTCTTCAAGGGCACCCCCCACCTCCCCAAGAGCCTGCCTCTATTTCAATCATTTGTGCAGGCAAATGACAAAAGCTCTTTGAAACGTCGTCTTATTTGTCTGTTTGAATGTTTCTGTGTTTACTCAGCTGTCACAGGATGAATTACAGTTAGTCTCTGCCACATTACCCACTCCCCAACTCCACTGATAAGAATGCTACATACAGTATTTTCAATCCCCTTCCCAGTAATGACCAGCTTGTGTTCCTCCTATCCGAGCGAGCGCCTCCTATTTGTGAGATTTACGAGGCCTCCACCCCTTCAACGCGGGGCCGGTCACCTCAGAGTGAGTCGCAGGCATCCCAAGGTTAATTAGGTTGATGGTGCCTTTAAATAGCAGGATCATCACTGCTCCTCTGTGTCGCCTGGCTCTTCACTCCCCCCCTCTGCTCCCCCTGGTTCCCTCTGCCTGATAACAGCGAGACTGCTCATCGTCTGGGCTCCGGTTCAGGAGCTGTCAGCCTCCTTCCTCTAACTTTTTCCTTTTTTTAAAACCCGATCCTGGCTCCCTATGTGGGGTAAGTTAGTGGGAAAGTGAAGTTGTCACTCAGAGACAGAAGAGGTGCGGTGCAGTGTGAGCCGGAGGAGCTAACGGTTTGCCTGCGCCTCGCCTTCAATCCAGACCATCTGTGGCCCCAGCTGGAGTGCCAGCGATGGTCTGGCACTTGTACCGCGCCATATTTACAGATCTAAACACAAATGGCTACTGCCTGATTGTTTCACGATTCATTAGTCAGACAAGCTCGGCTCCCGCGCCAGCCCAGCTGTTACAGAGTAAACCTTTGTCACTTAATAGGGCTGCTTATTGCCTCCCCATCAAACGTATTGATCTGTGGCCTCCTCCTTTAAGGAGAGGTGACTGGGAGCCCCGGGACACAAAGGAGGAGGAGATGGTGACATGATTGAGGTCAAAAGGATGCAGGCAGAGTTTATTAAAACATGACCTACAAATAGAGACGTGCATGAGAGCAGATAAACACCAATAATTGATTTTAAGCAGCTTAGTCATGTCACGTGCAGTGGGTCTGAAAAATAAGCAAAATAGACAATGAGAAATAGTTCAGATTTCCCACCTTTAACTGTATTTCCTGTACAATTCAACTGGAAAATAAATCTGAAGAGGAAAATGTTAAAACAAAAATAAACATTAATGAATATTTGAATTAATCGATTAATGTGCTGTTTAATCAGTGTCTCAATATTAGTTTTAGGTTAAAATACATAAAATATCAAAGGATTATTAGCAACATTTGTCAGTATTTGCCATGGTTCCATATATATAAACTGCAACTAACAATTATTTTAGTAACCAATTATTCTATAATTTTGACAAACAGTCAATTAATGGGTTAAAAATATGTTAGATATCAGATGAGATGCTTATTAAAACAAATTCCACCATCTGGAATGATTCCTTGTAGGGATGCAACCCTTAGTTTGGTAAATTATTATTCTGATGATTAATCATCAATTAAAATTTGGCTGATTCTGCAAATGTTTTATTTAACCACTTAGATAAAAGGTAACCTTAAGATTATCTTATACAATATTAGAAATTCATAAGAAAATGCAAATAAACAATTTCGTTTCATTAATAAACAAGAAAATAAACTTTTATTCTTTAAAATACAGTAACACAGGTATTTTGCATTCGCTTGATCATTTGTAGCAAAGGATGAATTTACAGCTAAAAACATACCATCAATATGTGAAAATCTCAGGCCTTTCTGCTTGATTTAGCATCGATACAGTGTAAGCTGCCATCTTTAATTCAACATTTATATATCCTTTGTACAAAGAATTTACAGTAGATTAGCATACTAATGTGTCAACATATGATGTATTAAAATAAACAGCATGTGACCAAATTTCTAAGAGTTATTTCTAATGTTTGGTTTGAAGCTTCTAGGACGGTACTATAAAGTGATCTCAGCGTTTAGAGACTGCTCCAAAATCAGGAAGCAGAGCATTCTGGGTAAATACAACCAAAACAAACGTGAGTCTAGAGCTAGTGGTAAAATGTCTTGTGGTCTTTTTACAAAGATGAAAGAGAAATCATACACACCATTAAAATCCGATTCCGCTCCATTTTTGTTTAAATTTCATAAAGAAGTGGCACTCAGTGTTTCCTTCAGTGACTCTTGGTGCAGCGCCCCCACAGGTAGAGGTTCACTCTGCATGATATAAAATCAATAGCACCCAATCACCCAAAAATAAAAGCTGTCCTCAAACGTACAAAGCCAGTTCTTAGAAGACAAAAGGAGGAGAGGAAAGAAAACGCCAGGCCTCAGGTCAAGTGATAATCATTGGTTAATCTAAGAGGACGTATTGATTTTGCATTACAGCAACAGACACCAAGGTAATTTACTTATCCGACACTTCAAGAGGAGTTCAGATATTGGCTTTCTGCCATTTTTGATCCTGCTGAAGAGGATTCATGAACGCCATCTAATGCCTCACATTGAGCTTTTTTTAAAGTATGTTTAAATTTGTCACGCCTCCTCTCAGGGGAGAAGAAGCAAGAATGGTTACGGGTTTGCGTGGGCAGGGTCGGAGGGTCAGGTGGAAGCAGATGATGGTGGTGCAAAGAGGGAAATCCCAGTTGGGACTTGGATTTAATATCAACACCGTGACATTTGCGCTGAGCGTGTGCAGGCGCAACATCGCTCTGCAGCCAGCTAATCACGCGAGCACGCTGGACAAAGCACCTCTCAGGACTTTAAAAACCTGATTTAATTAACAGGTTATTAGCTAATTAGTGCATGTTGATTAATGCTCTATTAATTTTGCACAGACCCGGCTGAACTCTCAATGGCTACAATGGATATTAAAGTTGCAAAAGGTGTAATTAGCAGCTCAGGCTCTAGTGGGTTTGCAGCTGTTCAGAGTTACAATGATGTAAAACAAAGTCA